ATTGCCTAATTTGCTTGATTTTATTGACTCTGCAAATATATACGAGAGGGTTTTCCTTGCAGCCCTAGCATAGAAGGAAACCAAACCTATACTAACTACAGTGATATATATTTTAGATACATTATCAAGGGATTCAAGACTAATTAGAAGCAATTACAACATATAGTCCCTCAAGCCTGATTTATTTGTTTTCCTTTTCAGATATGGATGATATTTAGTTATCATATTTTCTATTTTAATAAAACATTAAATGCTAATATTTCAAATTTACCATTATCTCATAAGAGATAGAATTACATTAGTATTTTTTATTTAATTGTAAGGGTGGGTAAAATTAGAAACATAAGTCTTGATTGTTGTTATAAATGATTTTTTTTTTTTTTTTTTTTTGTGATTACAGAATGGTAAAGTGGGACAACTAATTTAGACAGATGGAGAACATATTAAGAACTGAATGAGATTTGATTGCTTCTGATTCCTTTCTTAACAGGGTAGAGGTATTCAAACATGAAATTTCTTAAGATCTGGATGTAGTCTTAAACCTTAACTCCCTATTTAGCTTCTTAACTTATAAAGTTTAAGGTTATTATCTCTCAACAATATAATGGGGGACAAATTCACTTTTATTTAAAAGACTCTAAACTCATATAGTTAGTCAAACTTTATTTTCATTCTACTCGGTAACATAGTCAACATCCCTATCTTATGTAGCATGCTACTGTAGCAATTAACAAAAAATTATTCTTTAATGTAATATGGACCCCACTCTATTGTGCTAAATAAAATAAAAATCTAATGTCCCACCCACAGGTCCCAACTTTGTCATTTTAAATAAAAAAAAAATGATGAAAGAGAGGAAGTCAGAACAATAATTCATAGTCAATTTGTTAGTGGCACGGTGGTATGTCACATTAGATAGAGATAATGACTGTATTGCTGATTAGGATGTAAATAAGGTTTGATTAATGATATGAGTTTAAAATCCATTAAATAAGGGTGAATTTTTTCCAATTATATTGTTGAGGGGTTAATATCCTTAAATTCTTATTGTTGAGGGGCTAATATCCCTAAGTTTTTATGTGAGGGGGCTAATAACATTAAACTTTATAAGGGGCTCAATAGGGGTTAAGCCTAGTATTAAGGACTCTAATAGTTTAACTATTGAACCAATATCTTGACACCTTTAATTTTTAAAAATTTTTCTCAGGTCCCTTATATCCCTGAGCTGTGAAACAGGGGGCCCAAATGCCTGCCTACAAACTAACATACCTACTGTTAGTGTTGAAGTTCCAATTTATATCCAAATCAAGGATCAACTACTCTAAATCCGATTGAAAGTGAAAGATCTCCAACATACAAGGTCTCCATGAATTTTCTGTGGTGTCTCTCAAAGCCTTAATTCTGAGGTGCTCTCTCCTCACTACCTACCTCTCACTTCAGCCCAAAACCAAAATATCCCCTTTAATCAGTTGGTCCAAATCCAAACCGTTGACACGTCCAGTCTCTCAACGCAAAGCCTTATGGGTGTGTACATTAGAAATGATATTTTTATTGTATATGTAAGGTTATAAATTTATAATAATAATAATGTGATATATTAAATGAGTAAATGTATATAATATATATTATGTATGATTTTTTAAATAAAAACAATCAATTATATATAATGATATGTTATAATTATACAATTATAATATCACGTAATATTGTATAATATCATGTAATATTGTAAACATCATATTTTAAATGTAGATATAGTGTATACCACAACAAATAATATTTCTTAAATATGTTAAAAAGGACATAGATCATAGATGAAACCAAAGATACCACACACAAATTTTCACTGACCTTCAATAGGAGAAAAATGGGTACCTAGACTAATATATATACTTAATTTTTTGTACTTGTTTAGGTAAGCACAATTGTTTTGAAAGGCTTGTTAGACACTTAGACTCTACCACTTTCATCATGCCATTGAGGATTATTCATTGTCATTGTTGTTGTTATTATTTTACTCTAATGAAGACTCTATTCAATAATCACTTAATCA